GAGTTTCACTTGCCAGTGGTTAACACCTTAGTTTTAATGTGTTACTGTGGTTCAGTTTTGTTTTCATCAGAACCAATGTACAACTCACACTGTGTGTTGCTGAAGAAAGTTGTACTTTGCACTGAAATGTCCTCAAGTACCTGCACTGGCAATTACTAGGAAGAACAGTAATTTAAATTGCTCACGTTATAGCCAACACTCTTAATGGCTTTTTTTTTTTTTTTGGCCGTCCTTTCCCTGGAAAGCTCAAATTGCATCAAACCTGATGGGCTGCTGGAGTTCACGAAGAAGCTGGAAGGCCACATCCAACAGAGAGGGGGACACATTCAGTTCACACACCTCCGCCTCTTCCAAAATTGGCTGGACCAGGATGCTGAAACAGCTCAAGAAGCGCTTCGGCGTCTCAGAGCTGTGTGCAGTGTGGTCAACGACTCGTGGGATTCCTCCCAGGCCTTTGCTGACTACATCAGTGTCATGTGATGGGCACAGGAGCTGGAGAAAACCGATCAGCTTGAACCGCTGCAGTCCAGTCCCTGGCCAGCAAGGTTTATTTCATAGCACAGGTGGGGTTTTCTTCCCCTGGCTCGAGCTGTGTACAGTTGTTCTTGTCACTTCCCTATTCAGCTGAAGAACGGGTACCGCAGGGAAGTGACACACAAGACCCTGGGTCAACAGTTGTATTTCCAGGTAATTTAACTCTTCAAATATTCCAACTGAGAAGATGTTAAGTGGGACAGATATGAAATGGTCTTCTATGACTTCCTGCAGATCTCTGGACAAGCATTTATTTCACTGGGTGGTGTTACAAATTTCATGTTTCAGCCAGTGTCTCATTAATAACCATCTCCGTTGTTGGAGAGACTCAGCAGCCATCTGGTTGTGGTCCTTGGCAACTGATTCTAGATGACAATATGACCCTTTCTCACTTCAATCATTCTGTGATCTGTGAAACAAGAACTCCTCCCTCCACTTCAAGGGAGCAGAAAACAAGCTTAAAAAGCCCCCAGCCTTGACCTTTTACATTTGGAAAATTTTACCTTATTAAAAAAAAAAATATTTAATTCTTTAGGTACACCAAGCAGCCTGCTGTTTATTTGCAATCGTGTTGCCCCTCTCCGCCATCTGCAGTCATTGTAGAGAGGTTTTCAATGGTTTGCTCTTTTGTAACACTTTTATAATAAAAATATAAATAAGATCAGTAATATATCAAAGTGTGAATTTTATTATCGGCTTGTAACATGATCTAATTAAAACACTCTGCTAGATCAGGGGATCCTGCCCATAACAAAGCAAGTGGGTTTAGAAATGGAGTTTAACAGAGCCTGATTTCCTACTGCCAGATGTTCAACATAAAACATGAAATCTTTTTCCACTTGTACAAATCCTCTTGCTCCCAAGCAATGAGCAAGGTTCTCATTTCACAACAGAAATGGATCCTGCAAGTTTCTGATCAGCAGCTCTAAGCCATAGCTGTCAAGAAAAAATAATATGACTGTGCACATCAAGTGCTATAAAACGGCAGCTTAACTTAAACCTGAAGACAAAACTTGGCTGAGCAAAAGGCACAGAGACCAACAGTATGAGAACCACTGCTGAATCTGATCAAGCGCACAAGGTCCAGTTATTCCCAGTTCCCAAGCACACAACAGCAGAGAAAAAGCCATGGACCTCTTGCCATTGCAGTCGAGCGACCAACGCCAGGGGCCTTCCAGCCTCTCAGAAGTCGCGCTGTTCTGCCGTTCCACAGCCCCACAACAGCACCTACTGCTACCCACTGACCCTTTCCTTGGAAGGGACCAAAGCTGGGTAGATGCCACAGCAGCCTGCCCTTGCCCCCACAGGGGACAGTAACCCGTTAGGGAATCCCTCGCTGCTCCTCATGGGAGTGGTGATGAAAGGTGAAGGTGACAGCAGCATCCCACGCAGCCTTCAGCACAGAGTCCTGCAGCCCCCGCTTATCGGCACAGTGGTTCCACTGGGAGAGGTCAGAGGTACAGTCGGATCCTTGAGGAGGGGGCCGCACCTGGTGGCCATTCACACAGCGACGACACTTGATCCTGGAACAGAGCCAGCGCAAGGTCAGTGCAAAGTTCTTCTTCTTGAGCGTGCGGGTTGTTTAAAAAAATGCAGCCTGGTAACATTTGGATTAATTGCCCTTCACCTGCAACACTGGCAATGGATTTTCAGGCAGGATTGATTACTACCAGTAGTACCTTCCAACACATGTAACAGGTAAGAAACGACTCTCACATTTTGGAAACGCTGGGATTCTGTTTCTAACAGCACTCCCCCTCTGAGTGGTCCAGCAGGACCCAGAGGAAGATCACAGGGAGCTTCTGAAAGGAGAAGGACGTTGCTTCGAGCAAATCTCAAGTGAACACTTCTACTGCTAACACATCCTTAGCACGGCGGCAGCCTTCTCCAGTTGAGGAGAGCACACCATGCCCCAGACCGCTCCGTGCTGGCTCCTGCCATGGCCACTGGGGTGTGCTCAGGCTGCTTTGGAGATGCCCTACCGAGCTGTCACACAAGGAGACAAAGAGCAGCAGCCGCCCTGCCAGCAAAGCTTGTTGCCATGCAGATGATACCTACACCCAGAGCTAAGCTTTGAGAGTCAGCTTAAAACTAATCCTCTTCACTTCTTGCCTGAACTAAGAGTTTTAACTTTCACAGAGCAGCGTTTTCATGCCTTCTGTCCTCTTTCTGGTGGCTACAATGCCACAGGCCTCAGGAACGGGGGAAAAGGGCAGAAAATGAAGAAGAGGATTCTTTAAGTCTCCAGAACAGCACTTGGGTTGGCTTTATGAATTCTTAGCAGATGGAGCAGCCCTGGCAGTGGAAGCAGCTCAGCATTTGGAGATTACAAACCACCAGAAGGAGAGCTGCAAGGAAGGACCAAGTTGAACTCCACCAATTTGAACAGCTCTGATCAATTTCTATCTTTTCACAGCCTCAAAATACAGGCAGCAAACAAGCTATTTTGGTCACTTGTCCAGCCAGCACAGCTTTTCTAAGACAACAAAAAAAGGGAGGGCAGCAAGGGAGTGCTCATCTCCAAGCAGTTAACAGCTTCAGAAGCAGAATTCCTCGAGGCCCTCCCTCTCTGAGCTTCCTCCCGCTGCCTGAGGAACCCTTGAATTCGTAGGCCAAACTGTGGAGGGTTGGGGTTTTTGTGCTGATCCTGTCCATTGGTCTTTCAGTATACTCACTTGTCATGGGTGTCACTGGTGGTGGTCTCATTCAATGTGAAGAGCTCCTTCAGCTCCCCAAGTGAGAAATGCCTTTCTACATCCTGCTCTTCATCCACCACGCAGCTGCTGAGGGCCTTCTTGTGAGTCTGGCGTTGGAATATCTTCTCCTCTATGGTGCCCGTCTACAAGAGAGAAAGTCAGAGACGAAGCCCACTTGGGACACTAGTGTTAAAGGGAGAAGTGGGGAAAGTGTCCCAGATCAAAGTGCAGTAATCTGTCAGGACCATTTAGTGCCCTGCCAGATCAGTACAGATAACTGGCAAGTTTTACGAGCTGCTCTCCAGCCCTGTCCTGTTTGGTTGCTGATCTAACCCAACTCTGCTTCTCTTGTCTTTCACCGTGGCTACAGGAGTGGTTCCAATGGAGAAATGGAGGAGGAAGAGGTGTAGCTCCCACCTGTGGCAGAAGCTCATACACCACACCAGGTTGTGCTGACAGGAAAGAAAAGAGCTGAGCAGCTACAGCCACTCCCTGACCAAGAAGATAAAAAACCAACCAAACAAAAAAAAGCACAATAAAACCAAAACACAACACCCCCAAAAAACAGCAACAAGGGCTGAGTGACACAAGCATCAGCAGTATTTGCAGGTTCACCCACACACAGATCAATCACAGCCACCGAGGGAGATGACTACTTCTAGAACAGATGTGCAGAAAGCCCAGCAGGCTACATTTTTAAGGCAAAAATCTAAGAGCAAGATGTCTGTTCTGCAAACAAATGGAATACAAAGGAGGTGGGTGATTAGTCATCATTTGCAGACTGGTTTGCTAGTTCTAAAAGCAAAGGACCTCCCTGCTGCCAGGTGCAGCTAGGTCAGGGAATAAGTGGAACACAATGAGGAAGAGATGGGCAAACAACATCTGCTTTGTTAAAGTGAAACAGTAAGTGACAAGGAGCACAAGCTTACACATCACAAAAAACACATTAAAAAAAGAAAACCCAGACCCCCAAAAAACAACCCAAACCCTCACAGTCTGAATTAATAAGAGGCAAACATGAACAAGGGCAGAGAGGGGACATTTCTGAGCAGTAATCAGAACGAATGCTACTGGATAAACTGTTACAGTAGCTGAAAAGCCTCGTCCTTCTTCATGCTCTTCCTTTACGGAGCAGTTACCCCACGGGCTAACCAGTAGCCCCATTCTAAAAGCTGCTGTAATCCTGGGAATGTACTTGCTGTTTATTAAGTACACGTACACCCAAGCAAACCAGACTGCAGGCAGACTGAAAAACAGCAGCTTCAGACACCCCATGAAATTAAAAAAGTCAGATGTCTAAATGACTTCAAAGGAGCATCTTATCTGGAAAGGCACAGTTGTTTCTATTTCTCAGAAGCCAGTCACCATTGGAAACCAAGGCCTGCAGTAATGACCCTCCAGCTTGAACCCTCATGGTTTTCCACAGCGACACAGCTAAGGTTAGGAAGCAATTAAGTTTCAATCAATTTTGGTCACCAACACAAAAGAGTTCTGACCCTTCTAGTCCCAATCACAACAGCTGCTGTCTGGGCTGGCACCAATTGCTCCATGTTGAGGAGGTGAGAGGATTAAGACTCACTGAAAGCAGTCGATAGATGTAGCACGTCTTCTTCTGGCCATCCCGCCACACCCGAGCCATGGCTTGCTCATCGTTCGCTGGATTCCAGTCGGGGTCAAACATAACCAGTCTATTAGCACCGATCAAATTCAAACCACAGCCACCTGCTTTGCTGCTTAACATGAAGATAAACTCTGGGCTCTGCAGAAAAAAAGCAGGCTTGGATTAAACAACAGAGGTAGCCAAACTTTAACTCACAGCATTCAGAACTGGCAGGAGAGCTGCTCACATCTGGTAGGTTCAACTTACCGAGGGGCTGTTGAATCGCTCCACAATCTTTGCTCTTTTTTTAATGGACATGGTGCCGTCCAGCCGGACATATAAATACCTGGAATATAAAGCTTTTACTAAAATCAGACTGCTGAGACCTTTGGAGCATCCCACCCCAAAGAGAAAAACCTTTCACAAAGCCTTGTAACAAGTGCCTGGGCTTTAGGAGCTTTTGCCAGAGTTTTTCTGATAAGTGGCCCCAATAGCCGAAACACAAGGCACATTTGTTCCAATTCAGGAACATGTGAGGTAAAAGACATCACAAGTTCCTGCTG